CTATGATTGATGAACTCCAGGCTTTGGACAAAACTCATACTTGGGATCTTGTTGATCATACTTGGGATTTTTTTGATCTTCCTCCTGGCAAGACTGCGATTGGCTGCAAATGGATTTACAAAATCAAGATTCATTCTGATGGCCCTATTGAACGCTACAAAGCTCGTCTTGTTGCCAAGGGTTTTAACCAGGAATATGGTATTGATTATGAGGAGACTTTCTCCCCTGTTGCTCGGCTTACCTCTGTTCGCAGTTTGCTTGCTGTTGCTACTGCTCGCCACTGGGAGCTCTTTCAGATGGATGCCAAAAATGTTTTCCTCAATGGTAATCTTCTTGAGGAGGTCTACATGCAACCTCCACCTGGGTCTACTTTTCCACCTCATAAGGTTTACAAACTACAGCGTGCCCTCTATGGCCTCAAGCAAGCACCCCGCGCTTGGTTTGCTAAGTTCAGTTCTACCATTCATGACTCCGGGTTCACCTCTAGCTCCTATGACTCTGCTTTATTTATACGGACTACTCCTCATGGTACCACTATTCTCCTTTTTTTTGTGGATGATATGATTATCACTGGTAATGATGCAACTGGTATTCTTCACCTTAAACGTTTTCTCCACCGTCAGTTTGAGATGAAGGACCTTGGTACTCTTAACTACTTCTAAGGCCTTGAAGTCTCCCATGATTTTACTAGTTTCTATTTGTCCCAGGTCAAATATGCATTCGATCTTTTAGCCCGTGCTGGTCTTACTGATTGCAAAACTACCTCTACTCTAGTTGATCCTCAGATTCGTCTTACTCCTCTCGATGGAGATATCCTCTCAGATGCTACTCTTTATCGCCAGCTCGTTGGTAGTCTTGTCTATCTCACCGTGACTCGTCCTGACATTGCCTATGTTGTTCACATTGTTAGTCAGTACATGTCGGCTCCTCGCACTCCCCATTATATTGCTCTACTCCGCATCATTCGCTACCTCAAAGGCACTCTATTCCATGGCCTCCACTACTCTGTTTCCTCCTCTCTTGAACTGTGTGCTTTTTCTGATGCTGATTAGGCTGGGGATCCTACGGATTGACACTCCACCGCGGGTTTCTGTTTTTTCTTAGGGGATTCTCTTCTTACTTGGCGTAGCAAGAAACAATCCCTCACTGCTCGATCTAGTACCGAAGCTGAATACCGAGCTCTTGCTGATACTACTCAGGAACTTCTCTGGATTCGCTGGCTCCTTGCTGATATGGGTGTTTCCTCTTCTGGTACTACCTCCCTCTATTGTGATAATCAGAGTGCCATTCAAATTGCTCACAATGACGTTTTTCATGATCGCACCAAGCATATTGAGATTGATTGTCATTTCATTCGCCAACATGTTACCCGTGGCACTGTTCTGCTTCGCCCTATTGCTTCTGTCGATTAACCTGCTGATATCTTCACCAAGGCTCATCCTCATGGTCGCTTCAGTGATCTCGTTTCCAAACTCAAGCTGATTGATGCTTACACTCCTTGAGTTTGCGAGGGGATGTTAGTGTAAATAGCTGTCATACATTTATGTAAAATAAAGCACATTTATGTAAAGTAAAGCAAACCATTATTATTGTTTCTGCTTTTTGCTTTCGGTGCCCCTTTAGCATCCTATGTATTCTTCTCTCTATAAAAGAGAGTGAGCTTCCTTTTGTGTAATAGGCAGAACATACACATTCAATATAATCAATACACTCAATTTATTCCCTCTCTCTCTCTATCAATTCATCTTACAATTTTAATATTTTTTTTAGGTTTTTTAATCTATAAATATTTTATTTATTTATCTTATATAAAAATAATTTAACAATCCCATCACTAATCATCTTCAATACTATCATTAAAATAAATACATTTTTACTTAATTTTCTCACTAACAATCTCTATATTAACAATCTCTTCACTACCTATCCTTTCACTAACAATTTCATCCAACTTAATCCGTCAAACAAACGTGATCTTATTGTATTGACCAATTTATCCATCAATCACTCTCTCCACTTTCCATCGATGACAAGAATTACCAAGCTTCACTACTTTATTTCTAAACACCCCTTTCTTGCAATCGAATGTATAGTGTCGTATATATTTTATTTATATGTAAAGACACTAACTGTATATATATATATATATATATATCAAACATATTTAACAATATAATGTGAGTTTACTCAATCCAATTAAAGAATATATATTTTTATTGCTTTCTTTCTTTTGTTTTTAGTTTTGGGGATTTTTTTTTTGGGGTCAACATTCTAGATAGTTAGATTTGTTATTTTGTTAGCTTTGGTTTATATATTTGAGATAAGAATTCAAAAGTAGTTTATATAATCCATATTGAGAGAGAGAATCGAGCTTAACATGAGTTTTGGTTTGGGCTTTTCGGATTAGGCTTTAATTGACCTATAGCTTGACTCAAATCATCATAATTTGATGAGATTTAAGACTTGGTTTGATTTGATTTGATTTTGATGATTAAGCTTTTCTTTCAACCAGATCAAGTAGTCATTTGTTCGATCACATTTTTCACAAGGTATAGTGAATAAAAAACATGCCTTGTTAACTCCAATAGTCCCATCTCCCTCTCCTACTAAGATCACCTCTAACAAGAAACATATTTATAATATTGAATAATGCTTGGGACCCCCTTTTGGAGGTCACCCCTCACCCCCCTTTGCCACGTGGCAGGTGGTGATTGGAGGAGCAGGAAAAAAAAGAAAAAGAAAAAGAAAATGTAACCAATGAGAGAGAGAGGGGGTCAAAGGTGGTGGAGGAAAAAGGAGGGATGAATCATTGTTGTATAATATTTAAGGTACGTCTAATCTCTTTACAAAATAAAGCTCGAACAAAAAAGGTAACAAGGTGGGCGTTGTCTCATTCTAGTTACATTTGGAAAGCCTTAGGCTTCGTTTGGCTATGTGAGTGGGGTTGGAATTAAATTAGTCACTAAAAAATAAAATAAGTAAAAAAATTAATAAGATAAAATTTCATATTCAAATCATAATTATTTTACTTTTTCTAAAAAAAAAAAAAAAGTCAACCAAAACAAATTTTTTAGTTCCAAGCTAACAATCTCAACTCTAAAAAATTAATTAAATTTTTTTTTGCCAAACAACGACATAATAAACAAACCAATTTCAAAACGTAAAGAGCATTGTTAAATTATACACACAACATACATTAATAAACCTTTTTTTCTTATTTTTTATTAAACAAAACGTCTATTAATATTAGAGTTGCTGTAACACTACTAACTCACTTACGTATTTTCAATAATAAAAAATTAAAAAAAACTGTCTGGATTAACCAGTGCCTTCAATTTCATTCATTCCTTAATTTTTTTAAGTAAATAATTATTTTGTAAATTGATATTCTTAAGCGCGGTTAACAAAAGTCATAAAAAAAAAAAAAAATTATTGATGATAAGTCTATGTCTACGAGAATATACACTAGGTCTAGATTATTTTTTATTTTTATTTTTTGTGATAAAAATATAATTGATAAAATTATTTAGTGAAAAAAATAAATTATTACTTTGAATGATTTTTTTATTTTACTTTTAAGGTAATTGTAAAAGTTGCTGGTTGGACAAATATGAAATGACATATGAATAGGTTGGTCGATAGATGAATGATATGCACGAATAGGTAGACAACAAACATATAGATAGATTGGTAGAGGTAATATTATCTTTTAAATTAATTTATCATTTTGACCTCAAAAAATAAATTTGATTTTTTTAAAACAAAGATAGCAATAGTATGTTAGCATAGTTAGATAATAATTGAAATGATTCATCCACTAGTATTACTATCGTTTCATTAATTCAAATTCTTGACCTGTTCTTACCATACTATATAGTGTAGCTATTAGACTATTGGGTAGGGGTGGGTAACGGTTTATTCGAACCGCTCAAACCGCCAAATCCACCCAACCTGCATATAAATGGGCGGTTTCGCAAACATAATGCGGGCGGATGCGGTTTGAAATATGACAAATTTGCAGGTTACGGGTGGGTCGTGGGTTAAATCCGCAACCCGCAAAAATCGCTCGCACTTTAATTATTATTATTATTATTTATATACCAACTTTGTAACTTTAACAGGAGCACCATTATGTTCTCTATGACACTAGGATCCTTATTTTTAAGTATTTCTCAACTTTCTTAATGCCATAGAATTATCAATTCTTAAACTTGGTTTCTTATATGATTTTCATTGGTGACTCATCCACTTTTTCCTAATAAAATTTTCCTTTTCGTGGTTGATGGAACTTCTAGTTTGATTGGCAATTCTAATTGAGTACAACCTTTAATGCATTGATATACATTTTTAATGCATTGATATACATTTTTTTCATGTCAAAAATGCTAGTGTAGGGTCTCTTTGTTTTGGGTACTTTCATTTAATGCATTGATATTAAATTTTTATTTGTAAACTCATCAGAAAAATGCTGTCAAATGATTACAAATATATAAAATGAATCTAATGCCTAAATTCGATGAAAAAAAAAAACTCAAAAATTAATTTTTTTAAAAAAAAGTGTAAACCGCAAACCGTCCGTATATCTGCAAACCATATCCGCACAAACCGCAAACCGCACTGTGAGCGGTTGCAGGTTGATTTTTTTCCAAACTGTATAAATGCGGGCAGATCAAAACCGAACCGCAAATCATACAAAATCGATCCGCGAGCACCCCTACTATAGGGTTGAACTTCAACAACTCAATAAAACTTGATTATTGTTTTAAAAATTTTAAAATTTAGTCCTTAAAAAAAACTACATAAAGAAAATAAATAAATAAAGACATATTTTGACAATTAAAAAAAAAAATGAGTTTATTGACTTATTAAAATTATATTATTTTTTTACACTTTTTTTTTTCTTAAAAAAAAGAAAAAAAAATGCCATACGCTAGCCTTTTTTTTAGCCTGATTCCCAAAACAAGCCAAGTGAGTGTAAGAAAAAGGCAACAAAAGAACGTCCGCCAAACAACGACTCGCAAAGGTACGATTTTTGATTTGAATCAAAGCTTCTTCTTAGTCGTCTTCTTCTTCTAGGGTTTCTGTGTCGATGATACGCACTCTGCGTCTTTGTGGTCTGGTTGCTCGTACATGCTAGGTAAGGTTCAGTTGTGGTATATCTCTGATCACTCACGATCTTCTCTTCAACCCTAGGATTTTTAGTAATTCGTTTTTCTTTTTGGTTCGACATTGTTCATTCAAAATTCCTCTTCTTTCTTGTTCTAGGGTTTGTTTCTTCGTTTGGTCCCCTTGTATGTTGATTGTTGTATTCAATTTCATCAGGTTTTGGTTAATCGATGTCAAATTACATATATTTATACACAATCCAAAATAATAACAAAAGAAAAGAACAGAACAAGTGAATCGCAGATTCACAATTCATTTTCCGAATGATTTTTTTTTTCCTTATTCAATTTCAGGATTTGATGGATTTGGTTTTCTGGGTTGTTCTCTCTGTTTTGTAGTTGATGATTGAACTCGGCATATTGTTTATGTTCATTGGGTTGGCAAGTCCGAGTGTTAATTGTTAAATTATACTGTTAGGTAGTGTTTGGTTTGTTGGAAAGAAGGTTGAATATTGTGATGATTTCATTAGAATTCTCATGTTTGGTTCGCTAAAAAAATAATGAAAAATACATTGCACATGGAATCATCATTAATTATAGTAAGGAATAAGCATTTCATTCCATTGAACTTTCATTCCATCAAACCAAAGTTATCATTAGTAATTAAAAATTGCAACTTTTCAGATTATCATTTTATGTTATAGGAAGGTTTAGTTATTGATTTTGATCTCCTTCAGGTGTGGTGATTAGGGAAGCTTTATCATCAACACCGAGTAATTTGGTCCTTTGTTGTTATTAAATTTTGAAAGAAAAATGTCTGGAAGAAATCGTGGGCCTCCACTTCCAATGAAAGGTGTTCCACATGGAGGGCTACCCCCTGTTCATGAACCTCCCTTCGGTAGAGACCATGGTCCAATTCCTCATCCTGCATTACTTGAAGAAATGAGAGAATCCCAGTTCCGTATGGGGCCCAGACAAGTCCCTCCTCACCCAGCTATCATTGAGGAGCATCTTGCATCCCAACATCAAGAAATTCAAGGACTTTTGGTTGATAATCAGCGACTAGCGGCGACCCATGTGGCACTCAAGCAGGAATTAGAAGCTGCCCGGCATGAGCTTCAACGAATGGCCCACTATGCCAGTTCGTTGCACGCGGAGAAGGATATGCAGATGAGGGAATTGTACGAGAAGTCTGTTAAAATGGAAATGGATCTTGGTGGAGCAGAAGCTATGAGGGCTGAACTACAGCAAGTTCATGCTGACGTTAAGGAGTTAACTGCCACAAAACAAGAGCTTACAGCTCAGGTCCAAGCAATGACTCAGGATTTAGCCAGGGTTACTGCAGATTTACAACAGGCCCCAGCTCTCAAGGAAGAAATTGATTTTCTGAAACAGGAGTTGCAGCGGGCGAGGTAATAATGTGCATAGCTTTGTTATGTAAGTTTGGCTTCTGAACTTCTGACCCTTTTCTATGGCTTACAGGGCTGCCATTGAGTATGAGAAGAAGGGATACACAGAGAACTATGAGCATGGTCAGGTGATGGAGAACAAATTGATCTCAATGGCTAGGGAGTTGGAAAAACTTCGTGCAGAAATGGCTAATGCGGAAAAGAGAGCACGTGCTGCTGCCGCTGTTGGGAATCCAGGTATGCTCTTCAAGGCTTATTAACTTGTAAATGATTAGTTCGAATTCAATGAAAGTTTTTGTTTGCTTGTGTGTGTGTGCATTTTTTCCCCAAAATGAAATCACGTTTATTTTTTATCCGTGAAGTAAAATTATATTTAAGATGGAGAATATTTAGATACGGGAAGGAGGTAAGAAGAAGTTAGATTTAGAAGTAATGGCAGTAGGAATAATATGGAGAATATTTAGATATGGGAAGAAGGCAAGAAGCTACATTTAGGAGTAATAGAAGGATGAAAGAACTAAACAAAATTTTCTCCAAACCATTTTTGAAAATCCTAGATTGCGGCCGGCCACAACTTTGGGCAAGAAAATTTCTTCTCAACTGGATGCTCAATGAATGAAGAATTAGGAACCAACTTAAAGAAAAATGACTTCTCTTTTCACCTTCACCGCCACCCACCACACCGTATCACCCACTGCTATATCTCTCTCCCCTACCCACCCACTGCCATGGCTATCACCATTTCTCTTAGATTCAATTTCTCAAAACTCCAACCTCAACTCCACATACACGTACAATTTATGTGTGTTTATATACAAAAACTCATAAGAAATCCAAATTTACATCACTAACCCAACACAAGGACAAATAAAAAGAAATGTCCGGTTGTGGTAGTAAAACAATGGTGAGTTATGTTTTATAGAGGAGGAGAGTGAGAGATTGCAAGTAGAGTGAGAGATTGCAAGTGGGTCTTGTTTTAGAGAGAGAATGATAGATTTCAGGGATTGTAGATGAAGAGTGTGGCTTTGTGTTTTAAGGGTATTTTAGTCAAATGTAATGTATTATACGCATATATATCAATCATAAGACTATATTTCAGTCAATCAAGGGTAAGGCAATTTATTGCATGTGATGACTTAATGGTTAAGTCATCCACAAGGCTGATGGCTGTCTGATGGTATGTGCATAACTGTTATGCTACTAAGAAACTTCGGGGAGAACAGTATAATTTTACATGCGAAAGATACCTCATGGGAGGTCAATGTAATTTACGCTTCTTTGAGTGTGTGATGGATGGGTTGATTGATACCTAACTTTTTTTTAGCACTTCTCTCCACTGCCTTCAGCATATGAAGGGGAATACTTGTTTCCCTATCTGGGATTTTAATTTTAATTTGTAACACTCCATATTCTGTTTCTGCAAGTGCAGGCTATAATGGAACTTATGGTAATCCTGAAGCTGGGTATGCAGGAAATCCTTATCCTGCCAGTTATGGCATGAATCCCATGAATCCTGTAAGTTTTCTCATGCTTCTTACAATATGTAACTGAGACGCATTCACAAAGACACAAAAAGACATCTTTCCTTTTCTATAGCCTTAAGTTTTATGTATTGATATAGCTGCCTCTTTTGGAAACCAATTTTATTTTTTGTTGTCTTGACATTTCAGGGACAGGCTGGTGCAGAAAGCTATCCTCAGTATGGATCTGGACCTGGTTCTTGGGGTGCTTATGACATGCAGCGAGCTCACGGACAGAGATAGAGTATTATGGTTATCAAGCTATGCTGTGGACTGTTATTTTGCTTTTCTCTGCTGCTACTTAGGTTGGCACTTGGTAGATGCTTAATTTTGGTTATGAAATATTGTCTTATGATAGACATTGTGGAAGATATGCTCACTTATTATGGAGATTGGGATCCTGCTTCAAATAGTGACAGTTCATATTACATTGTTGCTGTGGTATATTTTTGTTTGTTTTGAATATTAATCTAATGAAAAGTTGTGCACCAACACTACTAGCCTCTAGTGTATTTCCATGTTACATTTGGTTTACCTTTACACAGTTGCATCAGGTTTACTTGATTCTACTTTTGTGATCCTCAAAACTGCATGAGATGCAATATGTTGGTTTGTTTAAATCAGCTACTTTGCGGAAATTTCCATATTGGTGAGGAAGTAAAGTGCTGGCAGGCAACCACTAGTTGGGGCCTGTATAGGTCTAGCATAAAGTGGGGATTGAGTCCAGTGATTCTGTGAAATTGTAGTGTTCTCATTTGAACTCTTAAAGATAGTTGTTTTTAGTTTAGCTTTTGCTTGAGATCCTTGTTGCCATTTCTGATGTTATGTCTGCCCTTAATCATGACTCACTTGTGATGTTGATTTTCTGACCCTGATTGCTTACACATTCCATTATCTGGCATCTGGAGTCATAGCACAAAGGCTTCCTTGTTCACTGATTTGTGAATCTGGCACACATTTTATTATTTGACTCCCGTTGAAAACATTCTTGTCTGTTTTACTTGGGTTTAGCCCTAGGTTACCCAATTTGCCTACCTAGGCGACATTGCATTCTAATTTGTGAATTCATGATTTCTACATAGAATTCACAAATGGGCTTGGTCAAGTTTTTAATTTGTGTTGACAAATACACCGAATTGTTTCTAGTCGAGTTCATGAATTGACTTGTTCAAACAAATCAATTCATGATTCGTGAATTAGCTCATCCATGCAAATTTGACCAGAAATTTAAATGTTTAAAAGGTCAAACCTTAGTATCCTTCTAGTAGGCACCAAGTTTAGATCGTGTGAGGGTTATTTGAATTTTTGATTCTTTACCCCCTCTAGTTTGGGAATAAATTTAAACTCAGTTTAACCCATAACTATTTAATTTGGAACAAATCCTGCCAAAGTTTTATCTTATGACCAAACTAATATTGGTAGGGGAATGTTTTGGACATGAACTATTTCCCAGGATTGTACTTCAAATTTTCTAAAAATATTTTTCAATCTTTAGGGTGCAAAAATGCTTGTTAGGTATGTACTTTGAAAGAATATCTTAATTGTCTGGCAATGAATAAAGTTATTAGGCTAAAGTTATTTGTAACTATTTTAGTGCATTTTGTTTTTCTCACTAGATATCATTATTATATTAATATATGTATATATTTGCATTCATATTATACTGCCGCTTAGGTTGTGCTCTGGACTACATGTATCTTACAAATATCTACTCTACGCTCTGGTTTGTTTCCTAGGTTTGGCCTTGTTTTTCTAGTCATGTTGTATGATATAAGCCACAAATTTTCTTCTAGGACTCACTATTCTTTCCCATCAACCAAAAAACCAAAAACAAAAGGTGGCTAGGGTTAAAGTTGCTTATTGATTCCTACACCCAAGAGTCATGTCCGAAGATACTGATGATTTTAAATTCATTAAATTACAAATAGTATTAAATTATGAAACAATTCAGGGATGGTATTCTGGATCTTTGTTGGTGCTTCCGTACTCGATAGATCAATCTTGAAGTAAGTAAGTATTTATCCCAAAAAAAAAAAAATCTTGAAGTAAATTATGGGACGTCAGATTTTTTTGTTTTTGCTCTGGTTTGTTTCCTAGGTTTGGCCATGTTTTTCTAGTCATGTCGTATGATATAAGCCACAAATTTTCTTCTAGGACTCACTATTCTTTCCCATCAACCAAAAAACCAAAAACAAAAGATGGCTAGGGTTAAAGTTGCTTATTGATTCCTACACCCAAGAGTCATGTCCGAAGATACTGATGATTTTAAATTCATTAAATTACAAATAGTATTAAATTATGAAACAATTCAGGGATGGTATTCTGGATCTTTGTTGGTGCTTCCGTACTCGATAGATCAATCTTGAAGTAAGTAAGTATTTATCCCAAAAAAAAAAAAATCTTGAAGTAAATTATGGGACGTCAGATTTTTTTGTTTTTTTTTTTCTTGGAATTTATTTATTTTTATTTATTGGGTGGCGTCTTTGGCTATGATTGAAGGCATTACATTTTTTGTCCTTAATCTGACAGGATGTCATTAATTTATTAGCCTACAAAAAAAAGTAAGTAAGCCAAAGAGGAAATATATCTGAATTTAACTCAACAAGGTTTGCGAGAATTGGAGGAATTCAGTGTGTTCTTCCTTTTGAAATAGGGGTTTAATTATTTGGCTTTTCAAATGTTTCAACAAGTTTTTTTTTATGAGGAAATAGTTTTTGGGATATGCTTTGGAATGATGAAATTCATGGAGGGTGGTGGTTGAAAGGAATTTTGGTTTGGAGAGTGGGAATCGGATGTTTGGGATAGCATAAAGTTCCATATGGTGTAGGGTTGAGGATGGGCATTAGAATGGGTTAGCAGGATCATTCCAATAAATTTGTTCATGGTTGGTAATGATCAAGGGAGGTGCATGTGGCCTTGTGTAGCGTAGTTGGAAACAAAAAAAAAGAAGCTTGTAGAAGTACTTGACAATTTGAGATGGTTTTTATCCTGTGTAAGTAGATTAGAATAGTTGCAGGATTGGTGCTAGAGAGAGAGAGAGAGAGAGAGAGAGAGATATGTGTGTGTGTGTGTGTGGACTGGGAGGATGCCCTTCACTGGATTGGAGATGGGTGCTTGTTGTGTGATCCTTTTGTTGGGTAGAGAGAGCATTTGGGTTGGGAGGATGCCCTTCATTGGATTGTAGATGGGTACTTCTTGTGCGATCCTTTTGTTGGGTGCTTTTTGGTGAGTGAGTCAGATGTGGGTTCCCCTTGGAGGAGTTTTGGGAATGCTAACCTTCCCTCCAAGGTTTCCCTCTTCAGTTGGACTATGGTGTTCAATGCAAATATAACTATCAATTGCTGGAGCATATTCAAGCGTTAGATCTTCCTAAACTTAAATATTGGGATATGCATCCAAAAGTTAGTTATGATTATGGGGACACGGCTCAAACACTTGTATGTATTGCATATTGTATAGTATTCTTAAATAAGTTGTTGTAAATTATTTAGAAATGTACTTCGAATAAAATAATATTTATGAAAAATATGGAACTTATATCTACCGTTTGTGTGAGTAGCTAGAAATATTTCTTTTACTAGCAAATGTAACTGTCTTCTTGTTGAAACATCATATAAAATTAGTGGGTCCAAGTGTTGAAATTGGCTACTGGTACGGGACACATATCCCACACTCTTACCCGTGTTATATTCAATGGACATGGGTACACTAGGGTAAGTAGAAGACTCCTTGCAACACAAGGCATGTTTAAAATTTGTTTAGATATTTTGTTTTTTTTTGTTTTTTTGTTTTTATGCATATATCTATGTCATTGTGTGTATCATTATCTGTGAAGTATGGGGTACTCCAAAAATAGTGTCGTATGAGTACTAGGTACTTACTGGGTGTGGGTATGCATACCGGTACGGCAGTATGCGTACCGGGTACACCAAATACATGCCGGGTACGATAAATACGTTTGGGGACAACGGGGTGTGTTTTTTTTTGTTTTTGTTTTGGCAGCTGCTAGAATTTGTTGCAGCCCTTTATTATTTTTCTTTCAATTTCAAAAATCATCAAGTCATTTGTTTTCAACACCCTTTATCCATGAGTCATGGTTTTGCTCTTTTTTGCATCATGTTTTAGACAATCAAAAAAGAAAAAGAAAGAATCATATAATTTTTTAAACAAGCTGTTCTTCTTTTAGTTTTGATATTGAAACTTTGATTTGTATGTTGGATGTTTAGTTTTAAATTTTTTATAAAAAAAAAAATTTGACATACCCCAGCTGTACCCGTATCCTACTTTGTTAAGAATTTTCTGTATCGGCGTACTCGTATCGCACCCGCACCCGCACCCGTGCTTCGTAGATCATTATCTTCTTGGATAATGTTCTAATGTATTTATGATATCTATTCTCACTCTTTAAAGAGAATACATGATATATCTTACTTTATGACTAGAAGAGATAACATTATGGGCAGCCCTTTTGATTTTGAAGTATATGGGTATATTTCTTAAGAGTTAATTTGTTGAGTGAGAAAAAATTGTATGACTAAGGTTAAAAAAAAAAGAAAAAAAAAAAAAGGCCAAGCTGACGTAAGAAACAGTATGTATGGCTTCATAATATATGTTTCACCTAGATCACGACAAATTTTATGAACTAATACTAGTTGTGCCACATATGATGTTCTCGCCTTGTGCATCTGGCACGACTTGGTGCTTAATTGGTGCCACTTCGTCAAAAGTGAAATTACTTCATGGGGTTTCTACAAAAAAAAGGTACTTTAATGGGTTTATATGGAACCTTTCTAGCTTTATAGTGGACCTCTTGACTTTTAGATTTTTGGCCTGGGGTTAGTCATGTAAGCCTTTGTCCACAAGCTAGACGATTGATTCTGTTTTCATTGTTTTGAAGCTGGTGATCAATCCTTATTTTATATTTTATTGTTTCATTGGTTGTTTTGATTGGTATGTAGCTTGGTAAGAGTTTTGAAGCAGGAAGTGGATGAATGTTTGATCTAAGTTGTATTCCTTGCTGGTGCAAGGAGTTTCAAATAAGAGTCCAGTTATCTCTATGTTGTCTTGTCCTTTTGTTTAGCACTAATGTCAATCCTCACTAGATTTCTAAATGGTTCTTGTCCATTCATTAATCAGCCTTGGCTCAATATAGATATACTTCATCTCAGCATGCTATCCATTTGAGTTCCATTTCCCTATGTTATGGTTTTACAATCTCCAAGGATGATGAGTTCCTTTGTGCTGCAAATCCTTGTATAATGGATGGTTATGTTTCTTTCTCTCTCTCTCTCTGAATCTGCTTTGCTTCGGTTATGGAATCTTCTACCTTGCATAAAAGATTCCGTTCATTGACATATACCGGATAAATGTGATAGGGAAAGTTACTAGTTGCACATTCTTTGCTGTGAATTAAGTACGCTCGTCATTGGACGATGCCAGAAGTGAAACACTAGGATACCGAAATCAGTAGCAGTGCAGGTTTTGGTGTATGGAATGGAAAAGGCAGTTTCCTTCTTTTGGGTTTGTTATTTGGGGCTGGAATTCAAGGAAGAGGCTTGTTTTATAGTCTAATTTTGAAAGGAATTCAATAATAGTCTAATTTTGATTAGAAGTACAGCAGTCAAGTACTGGGAGAATCTTATTGATTGCATGAAGTATACTGGCGTTGGCAAGACATGTTCGACAGTTGAGCTGCAATTTGATCTCTTCAAGTTGAAGTAAGTGATATAATTTTCTGTGTATATTGCTCTGCTTCATTTTTCCTCTGCCAACTGTGCTTATTCAAGAATTCTTTTGAATGTTTTACATGTGCTAGTCTTTCGGGTGGATGGCAACTCCTCTTGTTCATAATGATTGGTAAATTGTTCGTTTACTGTAGTTTCTCCTTAGTAACATCCTTGGATTCTGGATCAAGTAGCGTGGAGGAGCTATTTTGAAGACTACCATCATTTGTGTTGTTTTTCAGGATTGTTTTATAGTTTGAGCGAAGGTCTTAAATTAGTACCTGCACATGCTAATTTATTGTTATTTTGGTGGGTTACCTTGTTCAAACTGATTTTGTTTTGTTGGCTGATGTATTGCATAGATGTTGTGTTCTTCCGTAGTTATAAATACCAATTCTTGCCCTTCCCAGTTCACAAAACCAAGATATTCCTTTTGTCTTGGAATGTATAGCGTTGATAACTACTATCTTTAGCGTGGTAAACTCTTCCCTTTTCTACTTTTCTCTTCATTGCGGTGCTCTATATGAGAAATTGTGCAGTTCTATATATCACGAATAATCAGCTGATGGGGCATGCTTATTGCATGTGCTTTAGTTTCTTAATGGCATTTTAGTGGAAGCATTGGTGGTGTAATGGTGACAGCGTCAATGGTGATACTATAGAAAAATAATTGAAACTACTTTTACACAAGATTAACAGCAGTGCATACTAAATGGAAATTAGGATTTCACCCGCAGAGGGGGGGTGGCGGGTGGTAATGTAAGTTTTGATTCACACGGATGACTTCAAGGACTTCATCATTATGGCCAAGAGTCTGTGTGTATGCATGCTATGAACACGTATATCTGGGGCTACATGCTAGTTTGGTATTTTTTGGGTGTCAATTTATATAGATTGCCTTTCTACTAAAGGTTATTTGACACATTTATTGGGAATGTGGATTGCATGGAATCCACTAAAATTTCGTTTGGTGCATACATCTAGAGCCTCTGTTTGGCATACATGTTCATAGGATTGAATAGAAATACGTATAGCATAAGCATGTTATAAGGTATAGTGCCATCGTATAGTGGCTCTTTCTGTTGAGAATCTTTTGCATGCTTGTGCAGTACATGTAGATGATAGTGTCTGCCTACCATTTTTATATGGCTAGCCAGCATCTTTGTTGGAGCAATAATGTCTAAGCCGAAGGGTCAAAAATTTTGGTTGTGGGTTGGAACTTTTGTTGTTGATGGTCAACTAAATCTTATGCTTGTGCTCTATACTATCTTGTGTGATTACATTATTCATTTTTTAGGGCCAGATTTTATCCTTATTGAGGCTTGGAAATGATTTAGGTAAGGAGTGTGTGTCTTGGTTAACTAAATTCTTTAATAAGATGCTAATAATGACTAGAAAAATGCTTGATGTAAGAAATAATGTATAGAGAAAGAGAGAGAATAAATTGTATGTATTATTATTGATTGATATATTGATTTCTATTACAATGATTCATGATTCCTATATATAGAAGAGGGTGAGTGTGTAGTAGGTAAGGAGTAGGTGAAGTGGAGGTGGTAGTGGTGTAGTGGGTTAGGCTTAGTGGAGTAGGTTTAAGTGGGTGAAGTAGGTGATAGGTTTAGTGGAGTAGGTGAGTCAACTGAATCTTATGCTTGTGCTCTATACTATCTTGTGTGATTACATTATTCATTTTTTTAGGGCCAGATTTTATCCTTATTGAGGCTTGGAAATGATTTAGGTAAGGAGTTAACTAAATTCTTTAATAAGATGCTAATAATGACTAGAAAAATGCTTGATGAGTAGAGAAAAAGTATTTTAGCACCTATATATAAAAATAAAAGAGATATCCAAAATTGCAACAATCGTAGAAGCATTAAGTCAATGGAGCATACAATGAAATTGTGCGAGAGAATGATTGAACATCACTTAAGGGAAACAACCATGTTAGAGAATCAATTTGGATTTTTGCTTGGTAGATCAACTATAGAAGCGATTTATGTAGGTCAACTATAGAAGCGATTTATGTACTAAGAAGATAAATAGAAAAAGCCTATGATTGGATTCTTAGAGATATAATATGGTGGGTGTTGGAGAAAAATGTGTGACTAAAGGGCATATTGATGTGATAAAAGACATGTATAGTAGAGTTGTGACTACAATTAGATCACCTACTAGAAAAATTAGCAAATTTCCAATCATTATAGGGTTGCATCTAGCTTTAAGTTTTTTTTTTTTAATCTATTTGCCTTAGTCATGGATGAATTAACTAAACACATTCAGTATTAGGCCAGTAATGCCTTACGAGAAAAAAAATGTTGGCCAACTAAGAAATATGTGTATAAAATGAGTGTAGCTGAAATGAGAATACTTATATGGATGTGTAGTAAGATTAGGAAAGATAGAATTAGAACTGAATATATTTATGAAATGGTAGGCATAGCACCTATAGAAGATAAGTTGAGAGAGAACAAGTAATAATACGGTTTGCTCACGTTCAACGAAGACCTACAGATGCAATTGTAAGAGAGTGATATGATCACCATAAATGGAGATGTTTGGGGGAAGGGAAGACTTAAGCTAACACGGGATGTGGTAGTGAAAAAATATATGAATTTATTTAGAGGGTGTTTGGAATGATCTAAATAAGTATACTTTTTGACTTTTTACGAAAAGATGTGCAAAAAAGTAGAGATGTGATGTGACCCAAAAAAGATAAAAAGATAAAAAAAGTGCACTTTTGTAAGGGATGCCAAATAGTGCCTTAGTGTATAGTCCTTGATAGAGAAAAATGGCGAAAGAAGATTCATGTAACTTACCCTACTTTATTGAAAAAGGATTCAAGGCTTAGTTTGTTTGTTTAGCACTACCTTGTTAATTAGACTAGTTTCTTTCTTCATTCCTGGCCTTTTTGCTCATTGTTGCCAAAAGCATTTATACCAAAGTAGACTTCATAGACCCCAGTCAGGTCAATTAGATGTCACCTGCTATCAGTGTCTATAGTGCCTGCAGTCCACTTATGTTTACACGAGTAAATCATAACATACTCAATAAATTTTGTTGCAAGTCTCATGCCCTTCTATTGGGCTTTTTAGGAAGGTTCCTTCACCCCTTCTCTTCTCCTTTGTGTATATCTTGTGTTTAGGTGGTGATGTGGCAGCAGGCTAGTTTTGTCATCGTTTTGGCAGCCGTGAAGAACTTAATGTTTGATTGCTTTCTAGAGTTGCATCATTTGTGTGACATTGGAGATTCAACATTTTTTAGTTGCAGGTTAAGTTTTTGTTTCTTATGGTTAGCTAAATGACTTGCTATATCTTATCTTGATGGTTGGCTAATCTTGTTATAATGGGTTCTTTCCATCATTTTTTTACATTATTGTTGCTAGGAAATTAAACCAAGTTATTTTTCAATTGTAATCGATGTTATTCTTATTATTATTTTTCCAATTATTTGTGTTGGTGCCTTCGTATATTCTCATTTTGATGTTCTGATTTCTAGGTTGCAACTGGGAGCTCCAAACAAAACACTTGTGCCATTTTTCATCAGTATCTTAATTTGAAGAGGTTTGTGCATTTGTCATTTAATTTTGGGTTTTTGTTTGTTTCTTTATAATTTTCTGAGGTACTTTTCCTCTCGTTCTTGCTCTACATTCTGTTATCCTTGGTTCAGAAGGGCCATAATCTCTAATGTTACTTTGGTACATAGTTGCCTCATTATATGGTTACATCATTCTTAAGCTAATGTCTTTGATCTTTGAATCTTTGATATGTGTGGACCTTGCATTACACCATGTTGCCTCAGTTGGTAGCTGCCTTGCTAGATGGTCCACTAGGATCTTAAATATGGCATGCCTTGGCTAGGCTTGGAGGGACTAGTAAATGGCAATTTCCCCTGGCCATGCTCATCCCCCGCTTGGGTTTTTTCCACCTGATGAGGAAGTGGGATGGGGATGGGTTTTACTCGCTGCACCCGGTTCTATCCCACCGCAGCCCTAATTATATTCATTAAATATATTTATATGTATATAACATATATAATTTAATTTTTTTTCAAGATAATAAGATTAAATCACTAAAATATACATTTGACATTTATTTTCACTTATTTATTTCTCATCTTGCTTCGTTTTAACTTTCACTAATTATAAATCATTATCTGTAATGCACTATATAATCTCCATGATTTTCTCCGCCCCTGATATGATACAAGGAGGGGCCAGGACACTACAAACACATTTCAAACTTGCCCCGTTGCCATCCCTTAATAAACTGCACTATTGCCTTGATATTAGCCTTTTTTGCTATACTATCAGTTTCAAGCCATTTGTCCTGAATTCTGATAGAGTTCATCCTGTTTACTAGTTTACAATATATTGGTCTGTTTATCTTTTGCATTGTGCAATTGCTCTTTAAAGGATCTACACTGGAACTTGTAACACTTCATTCGCTGTGCCCTCTTGGCAGAAATGAACCTAACGGTCATGTTTGATTCACAAAACTAATAGTGAAGGTATTAATAATCCCATCAAATTAGTGGTATTCATTATCCAATTGAATTAGCTAGATAAATTATCCCTTTATCCATTGTTTGATTTGCATTGGATAAGAAAATATATGAATGTAAAAGAGTCTTTATTTTATTTCCCAGCTCAGGATATATAATCCCACCCCTACTCCATTACTATTAATTTTACAAATTTGTTGGATCAATTATCCATTGGATTAATAATCCTGAAACAAAATTTCAAAACAAACACAGGATTATTGGGCTTACAGATTAATAATCCCAATCTAATCCTGTCAATCAAATATGCCCAATATGTACTGGCACTATTTCCTGTAATTGAAGTCCTATATATATATATGTGATGTTTTACTTGATTTGGTTTCTATTAGTTCTTGTTTTTTTGCTAATATGAGTGCTGCTTTATTTCTATGGCAGCCACACCTGTTGGTTGGCAAATTTCTTTGCAGAACTTTTAGGCAGTCTCGCACATCAGTTAGCTTGTTATTGGCAAGTTCGTGACTGCTATATGAACAGGGATTGATTTTGTGTGTTCTCCCAAAAATTCAATATTAGGTTCATCTTTATGGAGCTTTTGGCTTTAGAGGCCCCATTCAAGTACTAAATGGGCGGACTTGTATGATACTCACTGGTATGATGAGTTTTGCTTACTTAGAACCCTGATGTTGATCTTCCAAAATTCTCATGGCAGAAGTGTTCGTGCGAACTATTGTGTACGAATGGTTTCTTTCTCTATGGGGAAAAAGGGACAAAATTGCCAGCGGCTTTGCAGATTTCTGGATTACACTGAGCTGAGCCCACGCTTAGGAGTATTTAAGTGCGTGTTTTGCTGAATTTTGATTGAGCTCGAGTTTCACCAAGTTTCCACAACCCCATGTCATGTAAAGTTCACGTCTAGTAGAAGCAGTCAAATGGGAATGAACTCTCTCATTGTACTTTCCCTATGTTGAGTGCATCTGTACGGTGTCACTTTGCTCGAAGATTTGGTGGAATATGTAAGTGGATGTTAAAGCATTGTTGCAAGCTGAAAAAATGGTGGATTGAGCTATTGCTGCTCCAATTCATGCTGTTCAGGTTGATAATGCATCCCAATCAATCCCCAAAATGTGAATGTGATGATCTTCTTGACGACTTTTTACGTTAAAATTTGATCATTTCATTTTACATGCACCCGCCAGACATCAGTATTTTCTTCTCCTACTGTTGGTTGGCACCATATGATCTTACATAAGATTTATACATCAAAATGTGATCAAATTTGTGTTCTCCTTTCTTTGGCCTAACATGAATCTCATATGATCTTGCATCTTGGTTGATGTGAACTGTTTGGATCTTGTACTCCTGCAGAGATTTGTAAAGGAAAGAACAAATGAATATGGTATATAAGTTTATTTTTTTTCTACCTTTTTTCCCCATATTTTTTTACTCCCCATTATTATGAGATGGGCTTGCAATTATTGATATTATTTTTATAGTAGTGCTAGAGACTTGAAATATTAATTTTATAACTAGTTAATAATTGGTATGTTATGTTATAACTACCTTTACAAAGTTATTTGAAATCTATAAATTTGTCATTGTAAAGCTTTTAAATCTATTGTTGATATCTAAATTTAAAAGGTCTAGTTTGTCTTAAGTTGAGATCAAGACTGGACTCGTCTAGTTTGGCTCATGGGGTTCATTTTTTGGGTTCGTTTTGATAATCCGAACCGTTTAATGTGTAGAACTCGTCGAGTGTTACATGCTTGTAAAAAATCATGTTGATTGGATATCAATAGTTATGTGATCAAATCAGTTTTGTATAAAAAAAATGGACAGTGAAACAAATAACGTTTGATAAAAAATTGTTTTGTTCACATAGCTATCGATATCTGATCAACGTGATTTTTTATAGACATATAGTACTCGATGAGTTTTACACATTGAACAGTTCGAATTATCAAAACGGGTCTCGTGGTGAGCTTTCATGAACCCAATATCACGGTTCAATCTAATCTTGGACGGATCAAATTCACTGCAAAATTTAAAATATTATGTTGACTTGAAAGTTTTTAGAAATGGCTTTTTAGGGTCGGTAGCAGTTGCTATCAATGTGATATATTTTTAACTAGCTAGAGAGACCTTGTTAAAAGAGAATGGACGCTGACCTCTGACATCACTCTCATCAATCCAACGACTTCCAGAAGATGTTAACCGCACACCAAACAAAAAACCCCACAAGGGCAAAATCACTTGTACAACTACAACTAACGGCTCGTTTGGTAATAATTTTTTTTAGTTAATTTTTTAATTTTTTTTATTATTTTAATCTGTGACTTTTTTGGTTATTTGATTTTCTTGTTTAGATTTTTTGATTTTTTGGCTTTCGAATGACAAATTTTTTTTTTGTCTTTTTGTGATTTTTTAACCTAGGAAGATAACCGAACGAGCACTAAAATGGTTCCCTCTTCTTCGACTTTGGTTTTTGATTGTGACCGAAGTTCAAGAAGATAATGGTGGAGTTGGGTAGTGGTGGTAAGAACAACGATGACGATGATGGCGGGTTTGGACTTTATTTTGATATCGATCTTATTTGTTTTCTTAGAACCACAATTGGTTTTTGTTTTTTGGTTTTTTTTTTTAAACGGTTTTTGTAGTTTGTTGTTTGTAGTTTGTGTAGAGTTTCTTGTTTGATTATCTGGGATTTTCTTGTTTTTATTTTTCTTATTCTGTATACTGTTTATTTTTATTTTAATATAATTGTCTCATAACTTTTTCTATAAAAAAAACTATGTCATCTCTTCTCTACTGTTTTACTCTCCCTCCACCAAATCTTCTCATTCCTCTCCTCTTCCTCTTCCTCTTCAATATCGCTATCCGCTCATCATATTAAACTATCACCTCCCAGTCAGTTTCAACTTGAGTGGTTATTTGATGATCTTGAAGCATTATTTTACATCATTTATCACTTTATATTTGTTAAGTTACCTCTTAAAAACTTAACAAAAAATAGTAGTCCCACTCTTTTAACCAATAGATATTAAGTTAGGATACCATATAGATCCCCAGAACCACCAATTTTTTTTTTTTTTTTGGTCTCAACCTTGGACTAGGAGTACACAGTAAGCGTGTGTCATCTTAAGTTCGTCTAGTCGAACACAAGGCTTTATTTAGCAATCTCAAATTTCATCCAAAAATCCCAGTCAGTTTCAACTTGAGTGGTTATTTGATGATCTTGAAGCATTATTTTACAGCATTTATCACTTTATATTAGTTAAGTTACCTCTTAAAAACTTAACAAAAAATAGTAATCCCACTCTTTTAACCAATAGATATTAAGTTAGGATACCATATAGATCCCCAGAACCACCAATTTTTTTTTTTTTTTTGGTCTCAACCTTGGACTAGGAATACACAGTAAGCGTGTGTCATCTTAAGTTCGTCTAGTCGAACACAAGGCTTTATTTAGCAATCTCAAATTTCATCCAAAAAGAATTTTTAAATTTGAAAAGATACAACTTCATAATTTTTCGGTTGAAATCGGTCTAAGAAGTGAGTTTATAGTGTAAATTGAAACTTGAGGTGTTGTGTGGCTAACAACACTACATTATAATCTGCTTCATACAAATTAAATTGAAAAAATTACAGTACAATAGAAATAAGAAAAAAAAATTATAAAAATATGTGGAGTGCAAGTGAAATGTTGTGGGGGTGCAAGTACTTGCATCTCTCTATATTTGTGTTAAAAAAAAAATTATGTCTCATTGGAATGTAATTCTTTCATTTAAATCCTAGCCACTAGGTAATTGTCTAGGTATTTTTTTTCTAGACATGTATTATTGCTGGTCCTAAATTTATCCTTTGTAAAAGACTTGCAATTTTGTAAATGCTCTCTTTAGTGTGTGTTCTAATGTTGAAAAGAGTAAATCTACGTCCACAAAAATTTTCATAAAATAAGATACACATGGGACATAAATAATGAATCTCATATGAGTTCCACCTTTGTGGGTCTCATTCCTGTGTCTTACATTTGTGTTTTATCTTTTAAAAATCTTGTTTTCTTAGACATAAGCATTGCCAATGCTATTTTTTTTTTAATTCAAAAAAATAGATATACAGATAGCCTACTCCAACATATCCGTCAGGGAGTATTGCCCCTTAGCATCTACAGCATATCTGCAGGGAATCCCATCGCACCTACGTCGGGGCTGAAGCTTAGGCCCCCGCGTGCTCCAGGCGCTAAGGAGTATGTTTAACCCCAACAAGGGGCTATAGAGACTCGAACCTAAGCCTTGAGCGAAGGATTCGAAGGTCTTATCCACTGAACCAACCCCCTGTTGGTGTTTGCTAATGCTATTATCTCTTAAATTGGTGATTATATACATTTAATCTATTAAGATTTGAAAAAAAAAAAATACAAATATCATAATTTTGATGTAATTATACAAATCTCCTTTTTAATGAGGTTAAAAAAATCAAAATTAATATGAGTGATATGAAGATACAATGATACAAACATAAATTGTACATTTCAATATAAAAGAAATGATAATATCATTTTTTTCATTTATACAACTTACGAATTTTTGATAAAAATAGAATAAAGTATTATATGAATCATAACCTTCAGAGATTTTAGTGTGATTATGCCAAATTTATGAAGCTTATGGTATTTTTTTTATGAGTAAATTACAAATACAGCTTATGAGGTTTGCTTAAAATACGATTTGCCCTCTACAGTTTTAAAAATTACATCCCATCTCTTGAAATTTTTTATTTCATAACAAATAGCCAATTTTATTAATAAATCATAAAATCAATTAACAATTTTTAATGATGTTAGAAATTTATTTTAATTTATAATTCAGGTAATTTTATCATTATAGAGGAGAGTAGTTAAGAATTTCATTTTTTCAGCTAATTCTGTTAAATAAAAAATTCTAACAAAGGAATATTTGTAATTTTTTAAACCACAGAAAACAATTTATATTTTAAACAGATCTCAAAACTATATCTATAATTTATCATTTTTTTAAATATCACGAAAGATAAGTGTAATTTACCTTACATTTAATTTCAAGGATAAATTACAAATACACTCCTAAGGTTTACTTAAAATACAAAGTGTCCCATGTAATTCTAAAAATAACATCACGCCTTTGAAATTTATAGTTTCATAACAAATAATCTTTTTTATTAATAAATCATAAATTCAATTAATAATTTTTAATGATATTAGAAATTTATTTCAATTAATAATTCATGTAATTTTATTTTTTTAGTTAATACTTTTCAATAAAAAATCTTGACGACAAAATATTTATAATTTTTTAAATCACAAAAAACAATGTATATTTTAAGTAAATCTCCAAGAAGTATTTATAATTTATCCTAATTTGACAAAATGGAAATGATGATTCATAGGATTAGAGAGGGCAACCGTTAATTTAACTTCCCGCCCAATTTAAACTAAAAACCAAAACCAAAAAACTTCTTCATTTCCATTTCTATTTTCTCTTTCCCGGGTCTTCCCACCTTCAAACTTCCCTCTCTCTCTCTCTATTGAAGCCTCAAAACCCTTCAAAATTTCCCCCAAAAACATTCACAACCCAATCCAATCTCATCTCTCTCTCTCTCTCTCAACCCACAAATGGAGAACAAATTCCATGGCTTGCCTCCTCTCAAAAGATTCAAGCTTATGCGGCAACAACAAGAAGAAGAACGACTCGAAGACACCGTCTTGGTTTCATCACATCTTCCAGCAAAAAAGAGAAGAATGCGAGTTCAACCACTCACACACCATTTCTGTTTGCCTGCCAAGAAAAGGGTTTTTGCATTTCACCCCAATTTCATCCCAGAAAAACCCATTTCACCATTCGACCTCAACATCGAATACAACCCACAATCTAACGACGAAGAAAGCGATTCACAAGAAGTAAATGATGTTCCAATTGCAACTGATAGCAATAACAGCATTCAAATCACTGAAGATTGCCCAGAGAAAGCACAAGATGAGGAAGAAGATGAAGACGAAGATGAAGATGGGATTGAATGTGCTGTATGTCAAAGCACAGATGGAGATCCATCAAACCCAATTGTGTTCTGTGATGGTTGTGACCTAATGGTCCACACCACTTGCTATGGCTCACCCCTCACAAAGGGTGTCCCAGAAGGTGATTGGTTCTGTACCCAATGCTTATCCTCCTCTAAATCACCCCAAACTGGGGATAAAAAGTCCTTCTCTTGCTGTCTCTGCCCGGTCGCCGGTGGTGCCCTAAAGCCCACCATCCACGGCCGGTGGGCTCACCTTGTATGTGCCCTTTTTGTTCCTGAGGTGTTCTTCACTGACCCAGATGGAAGAGATGGGATTGATTGTTCTAAGGTTCCTAAGAGAAGGTGGGAACAGAGTTGTTATGTTTGTAAATGTGCAAAAGGGTGTGCTATTGATTGTTCTGAGCGCAAGTGTGAAATGGCCTTTCATGTGACTTGTGGGTTGAAGGAAGAGCTTTGTATTGAGTACAGAGAAGGAGGGAGGAACAAAGGGGGTGGTGGTGTTGTTGCTGGGTTCTGTAAAGACCATAGTGAGCTGTGGAAGAAGGTACCCAATTTTTGGTTAATTAATGGGTTCTAATTAGTTTTTTTTTCTTTTTTGGGTGATTGAAATTGTTGTCTAATGTGTGTTTTTGGATGATTTGTTTTTGGTTTGCAGGAACAACAAACAGGGAAGTTCAAGATTGTGGCTAGGGATGAGCACAAGAAATAGCAAGATCTTGTGAGGTTCAATGGTTTTTATTATTATTATTATTATTTTGTTTTTTTGTTGCTAGAAATTTGGAAATGGGGTTTAGAGATGTTTCTTATTCTAGTTTAGTTATTTTGGTGTAGTTCTGTGTTAGGATGATTTTTATGCATGTGGTATCATGGATATTGATTCAATGTTGGTTGATATTTTGCATTTTGTTCTTTGAAATCTCATTTTATATCAAAATTGACTATTTTTTGTCTCAAATCTATCCCAATATTAGAGTAAAAAATAGATATATATATCATGTCGTCAATGGCACCTAGTATTATTAATCAATAATATAAGATGAACCCCACTCATAGTGAACTCCTATTAGATAGCGATATTATATTATTGGTATCACTATCCAATGATAGAAGAAGATTTGGGATAAACGAACATAGTAGAATGAGATAGATGATTGATATTATCAAAAGAGCATTGCTATTCAAGACAAAAAAATTAAATTAAATTTTTAAGTATAGTGATGTAACAATCAATTATGATATTAAGGTTAAGTTTGGCATACTTGAAAAAAGACAAAAAGTCAAAAAGTCACTATTTTATTTAAGTCACATCGTCTTATTTAAGTCACATCACCTTTCTAACACATCATCAAATTCAATCCAAACCTAATTTATATTTCATAAAAAGTTAAAAAGTGTACTTATTTAGATTATCCCAAACAATTCTTAAATGCAATATTCTTTTTTACATATTTTCGAAGCTTATAGGATTTATTAGAAGTTTTGTTTCGATGATTCTAATTGTTCATTTTGTAAAATTTTTAATGTATAATATTCATGAAAAAATTAGTGCGATTCAACAATCGTAATTTTTTTTTATTTTATTGCATTTGTTTTAAAAAAATGAATGACAAATATATTTTTGAAATATATTATTCATTTTTTTACAGACAAATATTATAAAATGAAAAAGTTATAATTATCAAATTGGTTTAAATTTTTTCATGAATATAATATATCGATGACCTTACAAAATAAATAATTTAAATTATCAAAACGAAACTCGTGATGAGTTTTACAAGCTCTTCAAGTTTTCATATGTTGTGATTTTAACATGAGAAAGACACAAAATTTTCTTTAATTACCAATCAAGTATATTATTAAATTTAGAAAATAAATTTATATACCATTTTTCTTATTGAAATCATATTCAAATCAGCATAATTGAATCTATAAAGATGCATTACCTATATATATAATTAATTTTGCGTAAAGCATCTCATTTAAAGTTACTTATTAATCACTAATATCATGTGATGTGACCACTGAATATGACAGCTGCACCCATTATGTACTCCAATAAGTCTATGCTATCGCATTGAATAGAAGAATCACATAAAAAATGGCCAAAATTCTCTTCTAATTACGGCTGTTAGTTCCTTAATATGCTTCAATTCTTTGTTTAATTCGTTTATAAATATAATTATTTTATAATTCCTCTACAAAATACATAATTTTATAATTTTAATATAATTATACGAATTCCTTTTATTAAGATTAAAATAAAATTAATACAAATAGTTTTAAAAAATAAAGATAAATAAAAAAAGATATATATTTAAGTATAAAAAATATTATATTATTTTTATTTCTATTCATATAACTAATAAATTATTGATAAAAAAAAAGTTAACAAATTATGTAAATTAAAACTTTAAGAAAATCAAATATAATTATGTTAAAATTATATAACGTACTGTATTATTCAGTGTAATATGCCCAATTAAAAAAAAAAAAAAACAATTAAGTGATTTTGGAATTCCATGCAACAAAAGAGAGCACATTATTTCAATGATCACCTAATCAGTTTTTCCTTTACAAATAATAAAATCTCTGTACACGAAATATTGGAAACTACCTAACCAAGAGAGAGGGCAATTGGAAGGGGAGACAAGAAACGAATCAATTTTCATTCACGAATTCAGTAATGCAACAATCCAAATAATTTTACAGGGACATAAATTAACTACTAAAAGTAACAGCCCCTCCCTCTTGTTCTTCAATTTTCCGTGTCAGCGGGGCAGGGTGGCGAAGACAAACAAATCTCCTCTAAGACAATCCGAGTTGAACAGCTCCAACCTCTCTCCGAGCAGCAACAGCAACAGCCGCGGCACCAATTGCCCCCAACTGTGATTGCTCCTGCAATAATTTTGCATTGATCGCAATTTGATCATTTAATTGGCTTGATTTGACTTGCGGTTGGTAATACGTGTTCGCATTGATGTCAATGGCTATCTGAGGTGATTGTTTGGTGACCCCGTTGCATTGTGCGGGCAGCTGTCTGGCTTGTGCAGAATTCCTGTCAATTTCTGTACTTGACTTTGCATGATTCACTGTGTTGGTCCTCGCAGCATACTGTGGGGATATGCCCTGAGGGACGACACCGTTTCGAAGAAACGCTCTTGCATCGTACACATCATTGATATTTCTGCCATTTTCATAAGGAAGAACTGGCCCTACCACTCTTCCTGGTTTGGCTAAAAGTAAAGAAATACAACTCCTTTAATACCCCCAATTGATAGAAACCCGACACGTACATGGAAATAATTGAAAGAAAACAACAAAACAAAACACACAATGGAAAACATAGCTAGAAAGGTGCATGTAAGTTGGCAAAACAGGGTATACAACAATCAAATTCCGATTCCACTAACAAAAGAGCTACTTTTGCTCCTCCATTTCCAAAAGCATAAATGTGAATGTCTGGTACTAGGGCCCACCAGGAATTTTTCACCTCTAAAATTATAAACACGATACTTAAGGTCCGGGGCCCTACTTAGTACACCTTCTAGTGTTTTCTAATAGCACCTTCCATTTACAACTTGTCAGACACAAATAACTTAAATAAAATGAAAAAATATAGATTATTTAGAAATTGGAGAAAGAGTTTCTGCTTTTTAATTATCAACCTTTATCCTACTTAATGAATAAATTTCCAGTCATTCAAAGTTAAAATCAAGCAATCCCAATACTGTTTCAAACAATCCAGATCTTTAAAAACATAAAGTTCTTTGGGCTACCTGTTGACAACAATTGGCAGAAGAACTTGTTTACGATGTATGGTTAAAAAATTAAAATTCATACCTGCAGGCACCTTAGGTGGAGGGCGTGATGGTTTCACAAAATTTCCACCAGAAATTGCATCCGTTACTCTAATGCTATTACACGACTCTTCTGTAACTTGCCGACTACCACATGAAGCCAAATTTTGATTTGTTCTGGGAGGAACTGTACTCGAGTTAACTGTAGACCTGTAAACAAAAAACAAAGATTGAGAACTATGTCTTTCAGAATTGATATAATCTCCGGGAAAGAGATTGGGCTCGTTTGGGGCTGCTTATAGCTTTTTTTCTTCTTAAAAATTTTCTTTTGGAAGTCTGTGCTACTATACCACTTCTACTTATTAGCTATGAGGCAAATATAAATAAGTTGAAAAAAACTGATTATTTGGAAGCTGGGGAAGGGATACTTTTTAGCTTTCACTTCTGATTATAGACTTTCAGTGTTAATAAAGCTACACCAAACAAGCCCTATATCATGCCTTGGCCATATTTAATTAGTATAAAAACCTTCTCACCACTGCTTAAAAGAATTAAAGAAGGCTATAGGTTCTACTTGCAGTAACTAACTTCCATTGCGTCCTTTTCCCACTAGGAAGGCAGCTTTGGCAAAAGGAAGGGGAGAGAGAGAGAGAGAGAGAGAGATGTACCGAGGGAGTGACACATGCTTCCTCTCCGGAGGAATTACGGGCCCACTTTTACCACTGTTTTCCTCAAGATACGCAAATTGTTTTCTAAATTGACCAATAGCACTGCAGACAATTGATATAACAGTTAAGAATCTGGGAAAAGAGCATAAAATGTGGAATAAAGCTACAAAAGCATAATTACAGTTCAAAGGTGCTTAGTTTAAAAAATTCAGGAACCTGGGATAAAGAAAATTGGGGCCTTCATTCCCAGCCAAGTAATCTTTAAGCAATTGTGGATGATATTCGAGTATCTCCCGAAATATTAGTTCCCTTATGTCCTCCTTCGTTACCCGTCGCCTCTCGAACTCAAACTCTAGCTTAGAGATTGGCTGACAGGAAGGTTCCCTCTCAGCTTTGGCTAGCCCCTTGAAGTAAGGATCAGCTAATGCCTAACAAAACAAATACATCAAAATTGTAGGTAAATATTACCATAAAGAAGTGTTTGATTGAGTTTTCAGAATTGGTTTCTGAAAAAAAAAAAAAAGAAAAAAAAAACTAATTTGGTGAAGAAAAAAATAAGAAACACATTATTTTCACGTGATTTTTTTTTTCAGGGTGAATATAATTTTTAAAAATTTACAAATACATTTTGCGTTTATTTTTGTCAAACTAATTTTTAATTTTTCAGAAAAATTTCGAAAAACAAGTTCTACAAACTCAATCAAACAATACGAGAAATTTACATAACAAGCTACAGCTGTCAAGACACAACATACCTCTTCGGCAGTTGGCCGGTCCTTTGGATCAAATGCTAATAGCCGTTGCAGTAATCGAAGTGCTAAAGGATCTGCATTTGGAATTTTCTCAGAAAATAGCACAGGTTGCTTTTTACGCATACCTGTCAAGTATCTCCTTGCCTTCTCATTTCGAACCTGCAATGGTTACAGAAGAAAGCTTTTAAAAAAATACCTTCTAAAGAAAATTTTATAGCTATAAATTTTAAAGATATATATATTAAAAAATAACAAAGAAGAAGAGTAATGTGCCATACTCCAGAAATGGTATCTGAGGATGGAGTCCCAAGAAGATCAGTGATCAAATCTAATTGATGAACAACACTTTTACCAGGAAACAATGGCTTCCCTGTCAATACTTCAGCAAAGATGCAGCCAATACTCCAAATATCAATAGCTGGTGTATACTGCAATCCAGATGGCAACACAAATCAGACTATGTTACAAGCATTAGAAATATCACACATCGATTAAATCCCTTCACAGAAATGACATAAGCCCTGACACAGTTACCTGGAAGACAGAAATTTCAACTTCCAGGAGAATTCAATAGTCCTCCCTGAACAAGAATTATTTTAATCTAGGGATTACTACTTCGTTAAGGCACTCAGAACGCTTTTTACACATAAATTAATGCATTACTACAGTATTCAAGCCATAGCTCATACTAGTGACAGATGGTAAAAACGCCAAATTGTTAACTTTGTTAATAACCAAACAAAGGCAATAATATGTTATAAATTATGAAATTCAAAAACCATCTAAGATTTTGTTTACAGAACTATAGAATTCCCTGTGTATGCCTCAAGGCCCTAAAATATTTAGACTAAAAGAGCAGATCAATCACCCAGTCGATAATAAGTTGTGTATCAAGTCAACAAAAAATCATATAGATTCTGCAAGATCGAAAATGGTTTATGATAGACGATGCTAAGTAGTCAAGAAAATGCCTAGAACATCAATATACCAACAAATGGGATGATAAGCAGGAACAGCAGCAACAAAATAACATAATTTAATATCTAAACATTCATGAAGAATTAGATGTAGCTCCAATGGAAGGTAAAAAAAAGAGAAGAGACGGCACTTAAAAACAACAAACACATGAATGAAAAAGTGGAAGTGGCAGTTTTACAAGGTTTGATCACGTGGAACAAAACCAACAAAAAGATTTTACCATTACAGGGATATAATTATCTGTGCAATGTGAGGATACCAAGAACAAAGAAGGCCTCTAAAAAATGAGGCTGGCTGCCATGTAGAAAAAAGAATATGAAGAAAGGAATCAGTTTAAATAAGGACAAAGGAAAGACCTGAAAGCCTGATGCTATGAGAAAAGCCACAATAGGAGGTACAAAATATTAGAAACCACACAGCATAGACCATGCCCCAAAGCATGTTGCTAATGGATCTGAATAAAAGCATGCAAGACATGGTTAAGTGAGCTATACCTTTGAGAAGAATGATCCACACAGCTCGGGAGCCCTATACCATCTTGTAGCAACATAATCCTGCAAAGCATATTAAGAAGGAAAATATAAAATAAAATTAAAAAAAACAGCAGAAAGGATATAACACTGCAGGAGGAATTCTCAAAATGAAGTTTGAAAATTAAAGAGTATGCTTCCTTACAGGCATGTCAAACAAGCCCAATGTCACCAAATAAGTGGGGCTGCAAATGAACCGAGCTGTTCATGAACAAGCTTGGCTCGGTTCGTTTAGTAAATGAGCCGAATTCGAGCTCACATAAACTCAGCTCTTTTATCTTTGGGGTTATTTGGGAGGTGCTAGATCAATATACTTTTTGACTTTTTACAAAAAAAACGTGAAATATGGATTGGGTTTGAAGTGATGTGGTAGAGAGGCGATGTGACCCAAATAAGACAATGTGCTAAAATAGCATGTGCTATTTCAGCACATGCCAAACAAGCACTTTATTTAAATTATATAATAAATATATTATTTATATATTAAATAATATATAAATAGTATTTTTTATTTAAATAATATAAATAATATTTAAAAAAATTTATCGAGCTGAGCTCGAGTTTCATTAATATTAATGAGTCAAGCCGAGCTCGAACTGAGCTCGAGCTCAACAAAGCTCGGATAGGTTTGGTTCGGTTCGTTTGCAGCCCTACAAATAAGGCAAACATTTTGATATCAAAGTCACATGGTATTTAAATTATACAAATAACATACCGTCCAAAATATTGTTGTTGGTGTATCATTAAAAGCAACTCTTGCTAGTCCAAAATCACATATTTTAAGTTTGCAATTTGCATTTGCCAATATATTCTTTGGTTTAAGATCCCGATGATATACGTTTGCTGCAACCAAACAGCTTTGAATCAGATTAGATCCCACAAATAAATGATGTGACAGGAGAAGGAAGAGGGGGGTGGGGGCAGAATTCAGAAAAGGAGAGAGCTATAGACATGCATGGAGAGAGAAAGAGAGGTGCTAAATGCTAAGGACAAAACTAAAAAATGTGTTTTGCATAAACTATATGGGTTCATTACGTGAGAATAATCAGTGATGGGCTGCTGAGATAATAACTAGTCACCCTACACATTACAAAAGAATGGTCACCTGTATGCATATATTTCATTGCACGTAGCATCTGATACAGGAAAAACCGATGGTGATCATGTGTCAAGTCATCATTTGCTTTGATAACTTGGTGAAGATCAGACTCCATCAGCTCAAAAACAACATAAATGTCTTTGAACTCTCGCCTTGAAGGTGGCAGCATGATGCGCTTGATATCAACAATATCAGGATGACGTAAAAGCCTAAGCAATTTGACCTCCCGTAAGATTCGAATAGCATCAGAGATATGCTCAAAAATGTCATTAATTTTCTTTATAGCCACTTTTTCCCCGGTATGTGTGTCAATGGCTGAACAAACAACTCCATAGCTTCCTTTCCCTATAATTTCTAGAATTTTGTATCTATTTGAATCCCCATACTCAGTAAAGAAGTCCATCTCTTTTGGGCTCTGTACAATGATAAAAAACAAAAATGAGTCACATTCATGCATTGCCATCACCTACGAGTTACCAAAGGTGAGTCACACAAAACTTAGATAAAACAACTAATAAGCACTGCTTGATATGATAAAAAGATAATTGATTATATATGCACAAAATATATGATAAATCTTTTTCTTTTTCTTCTTTCTTTTTTTTTTTTTTTTTTTTGGGGGGGGGGGGGGGGGGGGGGGAAGTATAATGCAAGGTAAATCATATAAACACAAAGCAAATATAAATCATCTTAAATATGTTGATCATGTAATTTTGAGAATTCAAGTAAAATATTTAAATGCATAACATTATTTAGTACGGAAATAAACCTCAAACATAGCTAATTATCCAAAGAGAATAAAATTACACCCATTGTCCAAACTTTCACTTTGCAGAACAAATAGAGTAGATAATTTACTTGATCAAATCATGCCATATGCAGCTTTCATAAGAGCCAAAACAAATTTAAGCTCAGCTCCCCTAAACTGCACTAACTACTAAGCACTATAAGTTTATTTCCAAAAGGATGGAAAACTTTGGATTCCAAGGGTGTACACAATTTTGAATGCTTACAGTATTTTTTAATTACTAGTCTTTTGTAAGTGAGCAAAAGATTTGTGCAATACATCCAGTCAGTGAGCGCTTTGTGTTTGTGAGTACAGTTAATGGGTATTTGAGGGTACCACTTATATATACTGGATATTTTGCATTAATAAATAATTCTTTTATTCGACAAAGAACAAAATATAAAAATACAAACCAGATATATATAGATATATATTATGCTCATTTTGGTAGCCAAGAAAGCTGGAAAAACACTCAAAATTAGTAAATAATTCCAACTCTTTTCTGGACCAATTCACGCAGGAGAAAGTTAAATAACATCAACTCTAACTAAACTTAAAACCAGAGTTTTTGCATTAAATTCAGTCAAAGAAGTTCTAGATTTTCTAAATTTTATAGCGAAAGAATCAAAATCCCAATTACCTACAAAAATCTCAGCAACTAAACAGATCAAATCAATATAACCAAAAGATCGAAATTCTCAATCTACAATAAAACTAATATTAAGTTCCAAGATATACACACATAAAGATTCTTATATGCCTTCACTAACCCTAAACCACACACACAACAAACAAATGCAGAAATGCAACCAAGATCTCATCTTTCTTCCAACAAATTTGAAGAAAAACGAATTCAGAGAGAGAAAATCAAGATCTCCTCTTACTTTAACCAAATATAAAATTCTAGAGAGAGAGGTGTGAAAAAGTAACCTTCTTTCTCTGATCTTGCTGCATCTTTCAAAGACCTCTCTGAATTCAACGCCACAAGAAACAAACTCTCGTCTTCCTCTTCAGATCAGATCAGAAAACCCTAGAAAAATTCAGTGCAAAAAAACTTGAAAGAGTTAACGAATCAGCCGCATTTGCCCCACCGACAGGTCCGAATGACCAAATCACCGCAATCTCTCCTTATTCTCTCCCAATTCTCACTCTCAAGCATACAACACACCTTTCGCCACCAACCACAACCACCTTACTCATCCAATTCTCATACCACAAAATTCAAACTCTTCCTCCCAACTACACATGCATCGTCAAGAAAACTATTCAAGTTCCCAAGAAGGAATTCGAAGGACAGAAAGAGGGAGAGAGGGTTGGAACCCTAGGGTTTGGAAGATCTGATGGCGGAGGAGAGAGATCCAGAGATCAGAGAAAGAGAGAGAGAGAGAGAGAGAGAGAGAGAGAAGGACGTTAGAGAGAGAGGTTCTTTATAGGACTTAGGGGAAAATGTTGTTGGGGTTTTCGGTTTTGATTTCTTTATACAGAGAAAGAGTCTACGGTATGTTACCGTGTGCGTACAGTAATGCAGTCTACGGAGAGCGGTGGTCGTATATTGTAATTTTGACGAATGCTTTGTCTTATTTCACTGTTGCCGATTTCTAAATCCTTTAAAATAGGAAGCTTTTATTTGAACACATAATATATACTTTTTGCACGTCCTCTTCATTAAGTGTGTGTATATAGTAAGTTTGGTGTGGATAAATAGAAGCTCCCTTTAAAGTAGGGAGCTTCTATTTACATACAGGAAAATGAGCCGTAACTCGAAAATCTTGGCTCGAAATTGGCTCGAATGTCATTTTGGACGTTTTGGTTGGTCTGAAACAGAGGAGAAAGAGGGAAAGAAGAGAGGAAGAAGAGAGGAGAAGAGAAAGAGGAGGGGAAGAGGGAATGGAGAGAAGAGAGGGTCCCTCCGCTTCTGCCGTCGGCCGAGCCCCTCTGCTTCGTCGCAACATCAGCGATCGTCGCAGCACCACCGCCGTCGCCTCCGGTCCCGCCGAGCCCCTCTCCTTCGTCGTAGCACCACTGCTGTTAGCCGAGCTCCTCCCCTTCCTCCTCCTCCTTCATTCTCTTTTCCCCCTGTGATTATGCCCCCTCCAGTCCTTTTTCTCTTCCTTCTCCTTCTCCTTCTCCTTCTCCTCATTCCTTCTCTTCTCCTTCTCTGCTTCTGAAATTGGATTCGAGCCAATTTCGAGCTCGACAATTTGAGCTACGTAGCAATTCCGTTACACATACCACTTCCCCTTTCCTTACACACTTAGCCTCTGTTTGGGAAGAGGCTTTTTGGACTTTTTTTGCTAAAATAGCTACAAAAGACAAAATAGGCTATTTTAGCCATAACAAACAAAACATCACATTCAACCCATAATCATCGAAAATCTTGGCTCGAAATTGGCTCGAATGTCATTTTGGACGTTTTGGTTGGTCTGAAACAGAGGAGAAAGAGGGAAAGAAGAGAGGAAGAAGAGAGGAGAAGAGAAAGAGGAGGGGAAGAGGGAATGGAGAGAAGAGAGGGTCCCTCCGCTTCTGCCGTCGGCCGAGCCCCTCTGCTTCGTCGCAACATCAGCGATCGTCGCAGCACCACCGCCGTCGCCTCCGGTCCCGCCGAGCCCATCTCCTTCATCGTAGCACCACTGCTGTCAGCCGAGCTCCTCCCCTTCCTCCTCCTCCTTCATTCTCTTTTCCCCCTGTGATTATGCCCCCTCCAGTCCTCTTCCTCTTCCTTCTCCTTCTCCTCATTCCTTCTCTTCTCCTTCTCTGCTTCTGAAATTGCATTCGAGCCAATTTCGAGCTCGACAATTTGAGCTACGTAGCAATTCCGTTACACACACCACTTCCCCTTTCCTTACACACTTAGCCTCTGTTTGGGAAGAGGCTTTTTGGACTTTTTTGGCTAAAATAGCTACAAAAGACAAAATAGGCTATTTTAGCCATAACAAACAAAACATCACATCCAACCCATAATCATTACACTCTTCTCTCACAAAAAAAGCCAAAAAAGCCAAAAAAATGCTTCCTAAACCAAGTTTTTTAGCCTAGGCTAAAATAGCTAAAAAAGCCAAAAAACTAAAAAGCCAACTAACTTCCCAAACCAACCCTTAATGACATTTTTTTTATTACATTTCCATCCTAAAATAAAATTACCAAAGTATCCCTTTCTTCTTCAACCAAAACCCTAACCCTAATACCCAACACAGTCCCTCCCCTCCGGTCATCTCTTTCCTCAACACCGTCCCTCCCTTCGTCGCCTCCCTCCGTCGCCTCCCTTTTCTCGAATCGAAGCTCCACTCCACCTCATCGTTCGTCGCTCATTCACCCTCCCAACCACCCCTGTAACCCCTCACTTCGGAACACAACACCACTGCCCCCGCAGCTCCCACCCCTTCGTGACCCTCAATTCTGCACACCCACAGAGAAAGAGAGAGAAAGAGAGAGAGAGAGAGGAGAACCTAAATCTGAAAAAAGACTCATTCGGAAATCAACCATCGAAAAAATGGTCTCTATTCGGAAATCAACCATCGAACCAATGAATTTGGTTCAACCATCAACATCCGAACAAAACATATTGATTCGACTATCAACCTCCGAAACCCCATTTTCGTGACTCAGAGAGAGAGATTGAGGGGATGAGGTGGGGGTCGCGGTAGTGTCGCCGGTGGGTGGAGGAAGGGGTGAGGATGGCGATTGGAAGTGAAAGGGAAAGGGAACGGTGGTGTTGCGTCGTCGCCGACGCGCTGGTCGCTGGTGTGGAGGTGTGTGGATTGGGAGTGTTGGAAAATTGTGTGTATGAGGATATAATTGGAATAAAAGTGTGTGTAATAAGTAAATTTTTATTTTTTATTTTTAAGGTGTGTGAACTAAGAATAATGTGTAAAAAGTGGAATAGGTGTGTTCAAATAGATGCTCCCTTTAAAGTAAATATTTATTTATTTATCAAACTAAAGTAAATATTTATTTATTTATCAAACTATTATAGGTTTTCTAGTTTTATAATGTATGCAATGAGTGTGGAAAAAGATTTTGGGAATACTATATATTTATATTTAGCTTCCCGTTAGAATGGTCGACATTTTAATTACATACTTTATCCGTTTTAAAATATTACTTTTTTTAAAAAAATTAATTTTTTAAAATAGTATAATTATTACATTTCAAAAGTATATAGTGTATTTGGTTTCAGTTTTTTATTTTTTGTATTTTTTTGTTTATAATGAATATTTTTAAAATTTTAAACAATTTTTCTACTTTTTTTTAAATGCATCTTAATATTTATGAAAAATATTTTAAAAAATTAATAAATACACAAAAATATAAAAAATATACTGAATATATATATATATATATATTTTTGGTATTTAGTGAATTTTTAAAGATTTTTTTCATAAATATTATACTTTTTAAGTGTATTTATGTTAGGTGTGTCAAAAAATTAAAAAAAAAAACTTAAAATATTAAAAAAATTCATTGAAAACAAAAAAAAAATACGAAAAATAAAAAAGTAGAGTTTTTTGAAAAGTGTTTTCTGGAAACCAAAACCAAACAAGCTAATTATCTTTTAACTTTTTTTAAGGATATCAATTGTCATAATTAATGAATTTAAAAAAAGGACAAAATTAGAAATTCATGTTATTTTAGTCATTTTTTTTTGAAGAGAGACTAATATTTTGGGACAATAAAAAATAAAATAAATAACTGATATTTTAAAATGGAATGAGTATTATATTTTTGCTAAAAAAAAAAGATTGATAGTTTTTTTTAATCTACACTGTGATATTAAGTATTAGGGGTGTTCAAATTATCCGATCAACCGAAGAAATCGAATTAAACCGACATTTTTGAGTTGGGTTGGTTTAGTTTTTGAGAGCGTTGATTTGGTTCTGGATTTTCCAATCATTAAATTGATAGGATTAGGTTGGTTACCTAATTACTCTATTAAAATGGATTTAATTACACATAAACAAAGGAAGTATTAAAAACTTGAGTCACATTTCACAAATGATTTAATTTGTATTGATCGTATTAATGAATTTAATTTTTATTGGTTACATTTATGCTTTAGTTTGATTTAATTTGTATTGACTTGAATTAAATAAATTTTTTCTCTTTGTTTGTGTTGTGTTTAAATGTAAAAAATTTATTTATTTTAATTATTTTTTATTGATTAATTTACTTATTTTTAATATAATGGAATCGTGTTCCATCTTGAACTAACCCGAGCTACATTGGGTTGATTCTAGTGTATGATTGGTTTGATTCTGGGTCTAAAAACTTAAAACCGATCATGATTGGGTTAGTTCTAAATTTTGTGTCAAACTGAACCAAATCGACCCATAAACACCCCTATTGAGTATACTACTATATTAAGGGGTGTTTTGGAAAGTTGGTTAAAAGCTGACGTTTTGGCTTTTTTGTCTTTTAATGGGTAAAAAATATAAAAGGTGATGTGACCAAAAATGAGTTAAAAGTAAAAAGCTAGTTTTAACCATTTTCCCAAATGAGCCCTAAGTAGAGATTGGACATGGTGTCCAAGTCTTTGCTTGTTTATTCTTATGCCACGTATATCTCATTTTTCTATGAAAAATAAAAAAATTATATAGCAAGTGTATGAGAAGTCCAAGCCTTTACTTCCTTCTCCTTATGCTACGCATCTCTCGTTTCTCTATAATAATAATAAAAAAATTATATAAAGAAGTGCACGAGAAGTCCAAGTCTTTACATATTTCTCCTTATATATGTGATGTATCTTATTTCTTTTTGAAAAATAAAAAAAAAATTATATAGAGAAATGCACGAAATTTGAAACCTTAACCTTTAGCTTAAAAGAGAAAGTTTTTTCTATTTGAGCAACACACATATAATGACATTAATTTATTTAACAATTATATTTATTTACTTGAAATGTATACGTATCGTGCGTGCTAACTCTTAGTTTATTTATAATGACATGACATATCCATATTAGTTTTAATTTATTATAAATTTAATCATGTAAGATTCTTATTTATTATTTATTTTTATTTTTTGATTCATAAGAAAGAGTTAATAGAAATAAAGTCTAACAAAACAAACCTGAGATAATTTAATCCCTTCTAGAGCCAACATTCATCGTATCAGCTATCAACAAAGAAGATATGGAGCTAGGTGGATCTTCTAGGAAGACGAGGTGTTCCTGTTGGTCAGCTCCTATATTGGCCATAGCATCTGTACTTTAATTAGCTTCCTTGGGTATGGCTTCAATTGAACACTGGCATCTTCTTAGGAGGAAGTTGACATCTTTAACAAGTGCTTTCAATCATGAATTTGCGTCAGCTACATCTCGAATGAGCTCCATAGCCTTCTGGAGCCTGTCTCTCAAGGCCTCGTTTGGGAACATGCTATTTTAATAACTTTTTGACTTTTTACGAAAAGATGTGCAGAAAAGTAGAG